TTTTTATACATCAACAATCTTTAAAAACTTTTTGTCATTAATTAACTAAAACAAGTTTAAAAATCTAATACAAATACCTTCATCAACATTTTTCTTCAATCTACACCATTTTTCTACATCAACAATCTTTAAAAACTTTTTTGTCATTAACTAAATAAAACAAGTTTAAAAATCTAATACAAGTACCTTCATCAACATTTTTTCCTGTAAGCAATTAATTAAATAAAAAGTGAACAAAAATCCAATCCTGAAGATGAAATCTTCGGAGAAAGTTTTTTTTTAGTATTTTGTCCTTCTTTTAACACATTTATTGATTTTTCTTTCAATGGTTTTAAACATTTACCCATTGATAATGAAAATTTATTTGTTTGAGACTTAAAAACAATTAATATTAATTAAAAATTTATTTTTAAACAACCTTACTTAAATTATAACTAGCTGGACATCTGATTGGGTTGCACTTTACCCGATCGTATCTTTGTGGTTTGAAATTCGATCACATGTAAATGAGTCAAACAATTTTAGAGCTAAAAAAATCCAAACACGTTTGGGTCAAAAAAATATATGAGTGTCAAAATATATAAGGAAGACAAACGTGTATTCTTTGATTGGGTAGTTTTATTCCATTTTATAACCGGCGTTGAACAGTCAGCACATTTCTCGATTTATTCCAATCGGTTCGACTCATCAATAATCAACTCCGCAGCCTTGCAATTTTGAACCCAATCCAGGAGACAGAGTCGCAATGGATAGAGCTTTCGCCTTCCAATGAGATGAACCGGGTTAGAACCCAACGATGGCTGGTCGATAGGAATCTGCATCTGTCTTGCACCGACCACAGTACTGATGTAAAATATTCTCAGTTGGGGAAATATTCTCATGAGTTAGAGTCCTCTTGCTCTCAAGTTAGCTGTGGGAGGTTCTCGTGATTTTCATCTCAATGTCACGCAAATGCTGTTTAGTGCTATCAAAAAAATCCAGCACGAAGGCTAGTTTTTCCATTTCTTGATCCAGGAGTTCTATTATCTTCTGTGTTAGGTTCAAAACTATAATACTAAGGAGTTGAACATTGCTATCGTAAACTCAGAACAGGGTCTGCTGTTTAACGGTGGCTATAAAGTAATATAAATTCCAGGAGACAAGTGAACTGCTGGTCCTAACGTCTGGACAATATTACATTTTCAGTCTCTAAATCTATTTGTGATANAGCCCACTGTTACGTTACAAGTAGAGAAAACCCACGAAAATCTACCACGGTTAACTTGATGACAGGTGGGTTCGAACTCATGATTCATCGACCACTGAGGATATTTTACTTCAACACTGTGGTCGGTGCAAGGTGGGAGCAGAATTTATTACAACCAGCCATCGCTGGGACTCAAACCTGGGTGTAAAAGGCGATCTCTTTATCCCCCGAGCCACCGCAGGTCTTGATTGGGTGAATGGGAAGTGCGGTGCACAGGTCAGTGGTTACTACCACCATTTGTTTTTCAATCAAAATTTTTTTAATAGTCGAATGCATGCTCACGCCATTATTATTTATACAGATCAACACTGCCATGTGATAATTGTCAGGTCATTATCAATCTCACATGTGTAACACTACTGCAATATAAGGCTACCCGGTTATAAGAAATAATTAGGGGAGAGTCGGGTAGCACCGCCCAGCGGATACCCCCGCCCACAGTCAATTTCATGTGTATAGAATATTTTTTCAAGTCAATGGGCCATCGGACATTAATTGTTTTATTAAAAAAAAGATTATTTTCAAAGTTTCAAGTATTTATGCAGCTGGTAACATGGTAAACAATAGTTTTGAAAATATGTTGAATACAGAAGTCATGAAATTAAGAAAAATTGATTGAATGTTTCGATTAAACTTCATTTTAATACTAAAAAAATAATTTTTTTTATACATACAGCATTAAAGTATGTAGTCTTAAGTTTAATTTGCACAAAGAAAGAAGTTTGTATGTAAAAAATTGTTCTAGTAATTACAAATTTACAAAAAAATTGGATTTCGGGTAGCCCCGCCCAGTTACAAAAATTGTGTTTTTTGGCTATTTTTTCAGGTGTAAATGAGAATGACCAATGTATTGACAATAGATAAACCTTATTTATCATTTTTATCACAAAATTATCTTATTTATTACATATTTATATACTTTTAGTGAATTCTATCATTTAATAACAACAAATGTCATACCTTTTATCATTATTAATGTATATTAATATATTATAATATTAATATATATTTATATTAAATATTTAATGAAAATAATTTAATTTAAGTAACNGTTACAAGTAGAGAAAACCCACGAAAATCTACCACGGTTAACTTGATGACAAGTGGGTTCGAACTCATGATTCATCGACCACTAAGGATATTTTACTTCAAAACTGTGGTCGGTGCAAGATGGGAGCAGAATTTATTACAACCAGCCATCGCTGGGACTCAAACCTGGGTGTAATTCATTTAGAGGCGATCTCTTTATCCCCCGAACCATCCCTGGTCTTGATTGGGTGAATGGGAAGTGTGATGCTCAGGTTAGTGGTTACTACCACCATTTGTTTCTCAGTCAAAAAATTTTTAATAGTCGAATGCATGCTCACGCCATTATTATTTATACAGATCAACACTGGTCATGTGATAATTGTCAGGTCATTATCAATCTATCAATCCCACATGTGTAACACTACTGCAATATAAGGCTACCCGGTTATGAGAAATAATTATATCTTGTACGTGACACAAGATATAACTATTACAGTATTATGTCATAAAATCTAATAGATAGAAAACATATTTAGAATCTATTGGATATTAATCAATTAGCTATAAATATTGGGTTTTCTAAATCTAAAATTAAATACCGTTTTTGAAGTATATATATATACAATGTTTCGTGATCACTAATTGATGCAAATATTGAATTATCGTCAATTTTTCCTTAAAAATGACGATGATATTTTTCTTATCGTTGTTATTTCCATCAATTATTGCTTTATAAAAACTTTCTTTAAGGTTATAAATTTTGAAAATTCTTTCTGTACTTAAACAATTTTTAAAGAAAAAAAACCTATGAAATCAGGTCATATAATCATGTAAGACAATCTTATAAATATCTAAAAAAAATTTAAAAAGTAATTCATCGCACTCACGATTGCTCAGCTACGCGATCGAAAAAAATCTTATTCTACATTTTCTTCATTTTCCTATTTATTCCAACGAATGGCTTACAGAGTTATTAAAACTATTTTAATATACTAACAATAAAAAAAAAATCTTTACGAAACCAGGCTGTTTTTCATTTTAATTAGATAAAAAAAACAGAGCAATTAAGTTATTCTTATCATTTCAGTTCTTCATAGTTAATTAGCTTAAGCAGTTATTTTTATATCAATATTATTCATTCAATGGCTGTATCATTCCATTAATCTGAAGTCTAAACAATTTACAGAAATAATAATTAAACGAGCTTTTCATTGTTTCTGTATGTATCAATATGTTAAATACTATATTGATTTTAGATCGGTTAAGAATTTTAGATTTGTAATGTATTTACTAATTCATTTAATTACAAACTCATTGTTAACTATAGAGATTAATCTCTTTACACATTATTTTTTTCTTCAATTGCATGCTCTGTTTGAAAAACTAATGTTATTTTACTGTTTTATTTTTATTATTTTAATTTTAAAGTTCCTATCAATGCAATTAATTACACACAAGTTTAAATCTTACCTTTAGAATTTCTCTTTATGAGCTTTTTTAACATTATTTTCTAATCTCATTTAAAACTAGTCGCCCATTTTTGAGCAAACAAAAGGTAATTGAACATGACAAATTTGATGAGTTGACCAAGAGGAAAATTTACTTTAATAAAGAAAAAGCTAATTAACTTTTTCATTCCTGTTCAGATGTCAGTCATATGCACTTTACTTATTATCAAGTATAGTTGTTTAAACATTTGCATACGCTGTCTTTTTCAGTTGGGAACATAAGGTAAAGGATGAAATCGTTCGCAGTTGTATTATACCAGCAAAAGTTCTCTGGATCTAACAAGTCATTCACTTGCATTTATTTAGATAAAACGGAACTCTCTAAAGGAACCTATTTATTTCAGAGATTTTTTCTAGAAAAATAAAAAAAAATCTTGTTTGGAACTAAATGAAAAGAATTCAGTATTCCAACATCTTATTATCGGTGCTAAATTTAAACGAATTATTAGATAAGTGAATCGACAGAACAAATTGAAAATCGTCTGCAGGAGTTCTGAAATTTAAGCGGGGAAGCAAAGTGAATAGGAGAGAAGATATTTTGTACTCATGAAGAATTCTATAGCAAAACGTTAATTTTCACACAAGTTCTGATTCAAGTTCTGTTGTTCTGTATTGATTATTGAAATAATTCTGTTTTTGATTATTGAACTTATTATTATATCAACTCATAGAATGAACTTTGACGATGAAAGAAAATTTAATAAATCAGCGTATGTTACTAGAACTTATTTTCTGCTTAATAAATCAAAATACGTAAGTACTGAATCGAAACAAAATTTTTAATTGATATATTTGAAAGAGAACTAAAACCAATACATGGATATAATGAATATAATATTTAGATATTAGAGTGATTATAATCATAAAATCTACAAATCATGCAAAATTAAATTTTAAAAAATTAAATGCATTGCTATTTCTTGAATAGAAACTCGTGTTAGGAATTAATATCTAGAAATTATTACAACTAGAAATTGTTTTTATTTATTATATCTATTGGAATCTTTAGAATCTTACTCTGTAAATACTATGCAGGAACTCAGGTGGAAATATGAAGCAAATTTTGCTAAATAAAATATTGTGAAACTACAAACTATGCGACGATCTATAAATTTTGTTTTTTGCTTGATACTTTAGATTTTTTTTTTAAAAAAAACTACCTAATATAGTGTAAAGAATTAAAAACTAGATCCTGTGAATTTCGAATTATGAGAAGTGAATTTTGAATTATGAACTGGTTTGGAATGTGTACAGGTTTCTCGAAATATGTTTTCCTGTGCACAGGATTACCCGTTTACGTCACCACGCAGACAAATTATAGATACACATTTTGGTATTTATGGAGGATGATGCTAATTATCACTTTTAATGCTAATCTGATTCATCATACTTATCGGATGATTAGAATATCAGATATGTTTGACAATTTCTACTCATTTATAGAAGTTTTGATAACTGCCGTTATAGCTGATTCTCTGATAGAAAAATTTAACGATATTTTGCGTTTGCAACAACTGTTCATTGAAGATTTAATTTCTGGCAAATATAAAATTAAAACATCCGACAGACGAAAATTGTGCCATTTATGGTTCGTCATTTATATCGTGCTTCTACTGTGTATAATTATGCTGATTGAAGCAGTTTTGAATTTTGATAAAGTAACAGAATATATTTTTCATTCACATATTGCTAATATAACGTACATCTCTGTTTTGGCTTTAACAAGTTGGATCATATCAGCCAGTAATACTATGTTTTACTGCACATTCTGCTTGCATCTGAAATCAATGTTTCGGACATTGAACAGTAATGCAAAAAAATTGAGAAGAAACTTCAAATTCAAAAGGTGCTGTATGCGCGCAAAACTGACAAGACATATTAAATTAATAAGAAAATTGCAAAAATTTTCCCTGCATAAAGATATCTCTATTAATTACCGTTTCGAATTGCACAAGTGCAAACTTCGTTCAGAAAGTCATTATGCTAATCAGAATATTCGTAATAAGAATAAATTTTTACATGTAAATTTTAAACCATCAGATAAAAAATGGAAAACAAGATTCGTGTCAATTTTCGAGACCTTTTTACATAGTAGCATAAAGGTACAGTCAAGAAATATTTCCTCCAAGAGTAAACTATTGGGTACAAACGTTTTAGATAGATCCGCGCTAAACTGTGTTCATAGATTTAACAGATATCCTGACAGACATTCAGATCCAAAATACAGAAATTTAAAAAATAATCTCTCAGCTCATCATACACTGGCTCACAAGATTCAAAACTTGCACAAAAGGTTTCTAAAAATTGAAGAATTGGTGAGAAAAACAAATGATATATTTTCTCTGCAGGTTCTTGTGATAATTCTTTGTTCTTTTGCCCGAACTTGTTGGTACTTTTTTTTCTATTTGACTTCCAAATGGACGGATATAGATCCTTCTGCGAAGGTAGGAATTGTCATACAAATAATTTTCGATTTTACCATTTTCGGATTAATTGTCTTATCAGCTTCCGTTGTTTCTGAAGAAGCGAACCAGTTCGCTCCCATAATCAAAAGATTATGCAAGAATTTCAGATGCATTGATTTGAAAGCTTACGTGCAAAGTGAAATTGCATGTACGGCGGTTTATGCTACAAATGTAGAACTTACAGCTTGGAAGCTTTTTAGTGTATCGCGAAATTTCGGGCTGACATTCATAGGTGTAACTGTTACTTATGTATTGGTGATTTTTCAATTGCATCAAGTGGTAACAGATAGCAATAAATGTGGATGAGAAAACATTTTCAACCTTACGTCTGTTTGCAAAATGCTTCTTAACAATGAATTCTTAATCCAAATTAAAGTTTTTTTTTAAACAATGCTAATAATAATTGTATGCACAACTTACACTTATGTATGCTTAGATTGGAAAATGAATTTAAATTAATCTAATTTATTTGCAATAATTGATACCAATCTATCTATATATTTAGAGTTTATGTTTAGATTCTAATTCATTTTTTTTTCTACTTTTAAATGCTGGTTTAAATTTCATAATTTTTCCTCATTGTGCATATAATTAAAATACTTTTAGATTTATTTAAACTTTTTGTGCATAAAAGTTAGGTTTTTGCATTTTGGCAACGATTCTTATCCATTTGAACATGCCCATAAATTGTTTCAAATTTGAAATAAAAAAAATATATACTACAATAAAAGAATTTTAAAAGCTACATTTTTCAAGTGAGCTAAAAAATGGAAAATATTTCTATTTCTATTTCGCCTAAAAAAAGAAAAGAAAACTTGAGGTACTTACTTTTCGAAAGACGTGGGCAATCTTCGATGGTGATAAAAGTTTTTTACGAAAAGGATGTGTCCTACGTTTTTTGTTTTACAAATTGAGAAAAAAAAAAGCATTTTCCCCTTTTGCCCAATTTAGTCTTTAAAATTATAATTTTGTTTAATTACTTTCTTCCTGTAAATTATTGTGTCTGTAAATTTGTTTTTGTAGGAAAGTGGTCAAAGTTTAAATTAATGAAAAATGGCAAATCATTATGGTAACATTTGTAACTTGTATATATAGTCATCAGACATAGAGATCCAATTGAAGCGTAAATAGTATAATAGCAAACCACGAAAAATGTCGTAATTTTGATTGATGAAATTCCTTTCGGCGATGAATTTTGTAAGAGCTGTAAGGAAATTAATTAAATTTGCTTTGTCAGGAGATACAAGACACCAGTTCAGACTTGAGGAAATCATCAAAAATTTAGTTCAAAATAAATTCCATTTGGCGATAACAATCTTCTTGTCCACCAGCACAGACCTTCAGTTAAGAATTGAGCACTTTAATATGTCCTAAAATGGTTGAAAATTCGATGCAAGATTCTATCTTCACCCAGGAACGCAAGCTAATAAAAACATAATAGTGTAAGAATAAACAAATTTTTACTAAATTTTTGCCTTTGTGTAAACTGACTCGCTCCTCGGTAGAATTAAAAGACTAATAGCTAAGTTTCTAAAAGAACATTAAGAAATTCACTTTCCGATTTAATATTTCGAGAACAGAAACCCAGGTTAGAAATTCTCAACATTGTTAAAATTTTCTATAAAAGAAAAAAAGGTTAAAGAACAATTTAATTAATTGCTATTACATCGTATTTAACCAAAACAGTTTGATAACTGTAAAAAAATGGTGTTAAAACTGTTAACCGCGAAAAAAATAATTTATTATCTGCTTTTACCGAATACCGTTAAACAACCAGAATTTCAACCGGATCATCCAGGCCCACAGCCAATGAGTATCGAGCACACGTTCTTGGAATGCTGGAAGCTATGTCATGTGACAAGGATTACGAATTCATGCTTTTATTTTTCCTTCGTTGTATACCTAACACAACGGCGAATGCCTAATAATCTTATATAAGTTTGTGGTGAACAATTCCTTGTTCTAAAGTTTCTTCTTCCTTACACTTAAGGTTCCTTGCAGATGAGTACATACTTTAGCCCGAAGAACTACTCTGTCAAAGGTTCGATTCCCAATCTTGACCCCACAATATTTCCTCCAAGGCATGTGCTATTTCCATTGTCCTGCACTCCTTCTTACTATCTGTCGCAATAGATAGCCTTACTACTTAAACTTATTAAGCCACATACAACTATTCCTTTCATGAAACACAATTCAACTATAACTAAACTCCAAGGCCCAGTTAAATTTCATTTTCGTGGTTTTCAAAAGATTCTAATTGTAAATGGTTACAAAACCATATAGTTACTAAACCGTATGGTTTAGTGATCGTTGTTTGTACTCGTATATTGTGGGGGGGGGGCAAGATAGCCTCCCCCCCCCCAATATTTCACCGTAATTCTTTTTAAGAAAACTCTCACGGTGTAGCAGAAATATTTTTTTAAATAACTGAGAAGATAAAACGGTGAGTTCTCGAAGCTCCTTTTAAAATGTTTGCTGACAGTTCTTTAATTTTCCCGGAACGCTCGCCTGCCTACCTCATATTGATTATTTTTGGCATAAGTTATTTATTATGTCTCACGCCTTTAGAAAAAAAAATTCCGTATTATTTATGTTTTATTATTTGTAATAGTTCTAATAGTTCTCAGCAAATTATTGTGGTGTTGTATATGGAAAAGAAGAAAGCAGCTAAAAGATAAATGTATTTTTCTCACAACTGTTTTCTTGTTTTCTATACATTACTATTTAAAAATGTTCCTTTTCAAGTGATATTAGTAAAAGAAAAAAAAAGGAAAAAAGAAAATGCGCAGCAGAACGCTTTCCTTATTCTAAACAAACCCTGATTGCTTTTCTAAGATTCCATAGTATTTTTGACACTGTTCAACACAAAATTCTGGACTAGATACAAAGTTATAAAAAGCTGTATGTCCTTGAAAATGAATATTCAATTCACGAACGATACCCAGAAAGTAACTGCACAAATATTTGTGACAAGTTCGATTTTTTCCAAGCCTCTGCCAGCTTAGCAACCGTGAATTTATAAATACATTTTTTTTCTCAGAGTATACTATGTAGAAATAGCTACACCTTCAAAGAAAAGTGTCATTTGAACACCTTAATATTTTTTTTAATACTTCCCTTTTTTCCTTGGAATCCACTCAATTCTTCGATATGGGGAATTGATTACACCTTTCCCTTTCTTCAATATTTTTTTATTTTTTTAATCCAACACAGCATGAATTTACCTTTTAGTACTTTACTTTTTCTCAGATTTTACTTCTAATCTCTGCATTTTTTTAAGTTCTAATTATTTTCTAACTATAAATAAATAGTTTCTAAAATATTTTGGAAATGAATGCCTTATAAGAAAAAAAAAATTCACCATACTTTTTTGCATCTCATTTTTATGTATTGATATTACCGCAATTAATTATTTTCATTAGTTCATGTGTAATTAGTTATGTAAATTATTTATGTACAGTGTGAAAAAAAGAATGAAACGCCTTGAATAATATTTCATCACCTAATGATCGGATTTTCACGTACTACGACTCAATCTTAATGGCAAAAATAATTACTTAATATAGTTACTAATTAAATAATTACTAAAAGATATTTTTTACCTGAAATTATCCTTGGATAAACGAATTTAATAATTGTATGCAAAATTTTTCAATTCGCTTAAAATGTTATTGCTTAAAAAGCTCGAAATATGCAAAAATCAAAATTATCATTAACGGGTCCAATTTTTTGACAACTTTTCTGACCAAACTACTGGGACTACATTTTCCAGATTGTGACTAACCCCTATATTTTCGGGGTCAGAAATCTGAATCCATAGAAAAAATTATGTATTTATTCAAAGAAAGTTTTTTCTTATGTCTTATTTCATATCTGAAAATATCGTGAGAACAAACTAATTAGCATATTGGAGGTCAGTCCCTCAAAACATTGAGTCACAGTACTTAAAAATCCGATTATTGGATCAAACGTTATTCTGGGTGTTTCGTTTATTATTTTGCCCACTATACAATCCAGCATAATAACTGCATCATTTTAATTTTAAAATATCTTCTTTTTTTCTAAAGCTTATATTTATAAAGAAAAGAAGCTAGGATTTTAGCACCTCATAGTAAAAAAAATCACCAGAAAGATATAAATATACTTTTTACTAAGAATAACAATAATAAGAACGAAGTTCGAAATTTAAAATCCAACAAGTCCTTTTTAACAAAAAAAAAAGAGGAGAATTAAGACTGATGGAGACTAAGAATAATATTTGTAATATTATTATTAAGGAGTTTATCATTATTGCCATCAAATGTTAAATAACACCATACTTCATCATAAATATATGCTGTATCTAATAGCTAAATGATATTGTTGTCACATTTAGTTATTATTATGTAGTAATATATAATTTACTTATGTCCAGTCCAGTATAATATTTAAAAATTTGAGTTGTGCTCACAAACTGTAAATAATTTTGGAATAAAACATAGTAACAGAATACTTCTTTACTCATTTGGTATTGTATCTAGCAATAACAATTCACGTTAAAGGCATGTTTTGGCTCTTGCTGAGTTTTTAGTGCACTTAACAGAGGTGACCAGACATAATTTTCATTATTACTGAATCATTATTGAATATGCCTAATTGAAATTCCTCATTATTGATTCGTGTAAGATTATTCAGATTTCATTATAACTGATGCGTGGATTTTCTGTTTCTAAAAAAATTTAGCGTTGCCTATGTTCTTGCTTTTAGTTCTTAACAATAATCTCCTATAGCAGAATTTATTGGAATGCAAACGTGATAATGCTTGAATTTTTAAAAAAAAGTGTTACTGCGCATTATATTTTGTAAAAACCGATAAATAATTTAAAATTGAAGTGTGGTTCAAGCAAGCAAAATCAGTTTTCTTTATTATTGATTCATGGATTTTCTGTTTTGAAAATTTGAGCATTTGCCGACATTCTTGCTCTTAGTTCTAAACAATAATCTCCTATAGCGAAAATAATGGGATGCAAACGTGATAATGCTTAGATAAAAAAGTGTTACTGCGCATTATATTTTGTAAAAACCTAAAAATAATTTAAAATTGAAGTATGGTTTATGCAAGCATAATAAGTTTTCTTTATTATTGATTCATGGATTTTCTGTTCTGAAAATTTGAGCGTTTGCCGATATTCTTGCTCTTGGTTCTAAACAATAATCTCCTTTAGCAAAATAATGGGATGCAAACGTGATAATGCTTAGATAAAAAAGTATTACTACGCAGCATATTTTGTAAAAACCTAAAAATAATTTAAAATTGAAGTATGGTTCAAGCAAGCATAATCAGTTTTCTTTATTATTGATTCATGGATTTTCTGTTCTGAAAATTTGAGCGTTTGTCGATAT